GACATGAACATCATTTTATTTTTGTTATTTCTTGCCATCTACCTTCTTACTCTGATAGGAAATTTGGGGTTGGTTGTATTAGTCATTAGTGATTCCCGGCTCCACAACCCTATGTACTATTTCCTGAGTGTACTGTCCTTGTTAGATGCCTGCTTTTCTACAGTACTGACCCCCAGAATGCTGGTCAATTTCCTTGCAGAGAATAAATCCATTTCACTTGCAGAATGTGCAGTGCAGATGCTTCTCTTTGTTACCTGTGGAACCACAGAATGTTTCCTCTTGGCCGCGATGGCTTATGACCGCTACTTAGCCATCTACAACCCACTTCTGTACACAGTGAGCATGTCTCCTAGAGTCTACGTGCCACTTATCATGGCTTCTTATACTGGTGGAATTCTGCATGCTACAATACACACAGTGGCCACTTTCAACCTTTCTTTCTGTGGCTCCAATGAAATCAGGCATGTTTTCTGTGATATTCCCCCATTGCTTGCTCTTTCTTGTTCTGACACCCACATCAACCAGCTTCTGCTCTTCTACTGTGCGGGCTCCATAGAGGTAGCCACCATCATGATCATCCTGGTCTCCTACGGTTTCATCCTAGTGACCATCCTGAAAATGAATTCAGCTGAAGGGAGGAGAAAAATATTTTCTACCTGTGGAGCTCACCTAACTGGAGTGTCCATTTTTCATGGTACAATCCTCTTCATGTATGTGAGACCACGTTCCAACTATACCTTGGAGCATGACATGGTAGTGTCAACATTTTACACTATTGTGATACCCATGTTGAATCCCATCATCTACAGTTTAAGGAATAATGATGTAAAAGTGGCAATGAGAAAGTTACTTGAGAGAAATTGGTTCATAAATAAAGTGCACTTCAGAAACTGACTAAGGGGCTAGAGAGAGCACTTGGTGGTTAAGAGCACTGACTGCTCTTGCAGAGGACCTGTGTTTGGTTCCTAGAACCCATAGGATAACTAACAACCATCCTCACTCTAGTTTCTGTGTCTTGATGTCTAATACTGGGCTTGTTGGGCGCTGCATGCAGGTGGTGCTTTTATATGCCGAAGCAACATTCATACACATAATAAATAAATGACTTTAGCAACTGAATAAACAAAAAACTCACATTAGCTTGTATTTAAGTCTTTTGTTATTGTATATTTCTAATGTATTTTCAAATAAAGCATTAATTAGTCCTGAAATATATGTCAGAATTATCAGCATATTATACCATTTGTATGTATTTAACTATATTCAAATTTATCTATCAGCATATTTTGTCATTCTATGTGTATAAGTATGTTCAAATTGATCTGTTCCCAATAATTTTAATATACATATGAAGTACAGGTAGTTTCAGTATGACTTCCTCCTCTTTGGCTATGCCATATTATTTAGACAGGGGATTGGCTTGAAGTTTCCCACATTGGTTATGTTTTGGAGTCACATTATGAATCTATTTCTTCATTCTTGCATCTTTCTCTGAAATTTTGCTGGAACTACACAATATTTTCACACATACACCTGTAGAACTAGTCATTTGTGTATTGTTTGGTGCTAGACTTGTCTTTATTAAAGTCCCTTCTTTCTATTCTTCAATCACAAAATGATAATAAGATCTACAACTTAAACTGACAGTCTAATTGAGAAAATTCACAAGATTATTCAGGCAAATGGAAGAACAGCTTGCAAGAAAACCTACAAATTGATGAACTCTTTGACAAAGGCCTTTCTCTTTCCAGTGTTGATGTGTTCAGCATGAATTTGGGAAATAAAAGTACACTGGACCCTTGTCAGGATTTTGTCTTTTCTGAGGCCTGCTGACATAGACCAGAATACACATAGCCATAAAAAGGTGATAGAAATTTCATTCCTATTGATTACAACACAAAGGGGATGATCTTCATTGCTTCTATCAATGCCCATGGTCTGTGGTGTTTGTATAATATACAAAACAAATACAAACACAGTCATACTTTTTTGTTAGTCAACGGCAGGAATATTCATGAGCTACATGTTTTGGTTATAAGAGGAGGTAAGGACTGGGGAAATGGCTCAGTAGTTAAGAGCACAATCTGCTCTTCTCAAGGACCATTGTTTTGTCCTCAGCCCTCAATCAGTGGCTAACAACTGTTTGTAACTCCAGCAACAGGGAATCTGATGCCCTCTTGAGGCATTGTTGATCATTGTATGCACAGGTTCACTTTATACATGCGGGCAAAACATTCACACACATAAAATAAATACAATTAAAAAACAAACAAACAAAAGAAGCCCTCAAGCCTTAGTAAGCTTGTTTTCATTATAAACAAGCTAAAATAATATTAACGTTTTGGCTTTAAGGTTAATTAAAGTCATTTGTCCAGAGTATGTCCATATTATAAAAGTTGTTCCTATGCTGGAAATGGATCATCTATCATCTATCAAGGATCTATCTATCTATCTATCTATCATCTATCTATCTATCATCTGTCTATCTATAATCTATCTATCATCTGTCTATCTATATCTATCTATATCTGTCATCTATCTATCATCTATCTGTCTATCTCTATCTATCATCTATCTATCATCTATCTGTCTATCTATCTATCTATCTTATCATCTATCTATCTATCATCTATCTATCATCTATCATCTATCTATATATCATCTATCTGTCTATCATCTATCATCTATCGATCTATATCTATCATCTATCTATCATCTATCTATATCATCTATCTATCTTCTATCTATCATCTATATCTATCATCTATCTATCTATTATCTATCATCTATCATCTATCTTTCATCTATCATCTATCATCTATCTATCTATCATCTATCTATCATCTATCTATATCATCTATCTATCTTCTATCTATCATCTATATCTATCATCTATCTATCTATTATCTATCATCTATCATCTATCTTTCATCTATCATCTATCATCTATCTATCTATCATCTCTATCTATCTATCTATCTATCTATCTATCATCTATTTATCTATCTATCATCTATCATCATCTATCATCTATCTATCTATCATCTATCTATCTATCTATCTATCATCTATCATCATCTGTCTATCTAAT